AAGATTAATGTAAAAAACATCGACTGGGGAAGTGATCGGTTTAATAAGAATGTATACGTTAATAAGAACCGGTCACATCACCGGTAATGAGCGTGATAAATCTTGTTTTCCTTCATCTTATTGCAGATCGAGTCGCGATGCACGTAGAGCAAGAAATAGCAATAAATACGAATGATGATACAGTAGTAATTACTAATTGCTAATCCCCTCGGCTTGTTAAGATAAGTAGCGAATACCGCCAAGTAATAGCATTAGCGCACGTCTTTCGCAAAGCCAGGGAAGAGAGTCTCGAAAAAACCGCATTACATCGAGTCGAGCTTATCCTGTGTATTATCGTTCTCTCCTCCTCTCCCTCTCTCACTCTTTCTCTCTCTATTTCTCCCCTTCCGTGGAATGTTTTCCACACGCACGGGTATCAGGGTGCAGGTGGTGCTAGACGAGGAAACAGCTGTCCAACCTCCCGCTACGTCGACCCTTCGTTCCCTTCGGCGGTTAGCGCGCTCAACTTCTGTCGCCGCGGGTCCCTTTTGTTTTCGGCTCGTCGACTTTTCCATCCTCTAACGTGCCGCGTGGTCGCGCGCGACGCCTTAGCATCGATAAACTCGACTCGATACTTACGGAGTAACTCGACTCGATACTTACATGCGCGGCGACAATTAACGTGCCTACTTTAACGGCAACGATTATCGATATATATACCATGCAGTCACGGCGACTGCCGATGACATGGTCGTGAGCGCGGCAGAAGCCGGCCGGCTTTTGCCGGCGGCAAGAGGGAACGAGGCGAGACACCCACAAGCGTGAGTTAGCCGAGTCGCCGTTTCGCGCGGGTGAAAGGGGGAACGAGGGAAGAAACGAAAAAGCCCGCGCGCGCGTTGTGCCGGCGGCGGTGGCGGCGGCGGCATTCTAAATTTAGGAGGAAGTATTGATTTTACAATTTGGACCCCTCCCAAAGTAAAAAATAAACCAAGCCGAACGTACTCTACTTTGATAGAGTGCCTCTCCTCTGCGCGGCTCGTTTCGACGCACAGGCCGGAGAGAGAAAGAGGGAGACGCGAGGAGAGCGAAACAGAGGAACAGGCGGAGGAGGCGGACGAGGTGGAGGAGGGCGGATGGCGGCGAGGGGAAGAAATAGGGTGCAAGCGCGGGCGGGTGGGGCAGGGGAAGGGAGTAATAAAGAGGAAGGGAGGCCGGCGAGCGGGCGGAGAGAAAAGAGAGTGGCGAAATGCCGTAGTTCCACCCCGGTAAGAAACAAAGAACAGAAAATTGATCGTTTGTTAAGTTTTATGTTCCTACGGGGCAGGCGGCGAAGAGCTCGCTCGCTCGTCCGTCCGTCCGTCCGTCCGTCTCCTCTCTCGGCCTTCCACCACCTCCTCCACCTCTTCCTCCTTCCTAACCTCCCTGCTTCTCGTTCCTCGTCCTTCATACCGCCGCCGTATACTTTTCTTCCTTCTTTCGCGCGACGTACAATAAGACGAATTGAGGAAATTCTGCGCGGCGCGCTATGGGAAAAGAACCAGGAGGGCACGCAGAAAAACGCGAACGGGGGGTAAAGAGGCAGACAGAAAGAGAGAGAGAAAGAGAGAACCAAGAGGGACGGGAGCGGGCAGAGATGGAAAGGTAGGGGAGGAAGAGAGCGGCGAGCGAGAGACACGTGTACGCAAAAAAAGAGCAAGAGTCTCGTCCGTGGAAACCGGACGGGATTGCATTCGTCGTCGTCTGCTACAGATCGCCCGGGTTTTTTGGCTGGGAATAGAATTCAATTATCAGGAGTCGGTCGTCTCCATCGAGTGGCGGGAACGAGAGGATGACGGCGGGATGTTGGCGACAGCGACGGTGGCGGTGGTGGCGGTTGTGGTGGTTGGTGCCGCCCTTATTACGGCTCCTCAGATTTCCGGTCGCGTTTCGCGCACACGTAATACACGCCGGGATACGTGATCGCATGTGATCACACGCGTCACAGCCACCTTCGATGAACTCACACAACAGGCGTGATCTATTCGCGCGTCTATAATTAGCGGCGGCGAGATAACGGCCGAGATGATGCGCGAACACAATGCGGTCTCATTTCGCGGAGCAGTCGGGAACATCGGCGCGGTTAACCATCGGGAACGCGTGACTCGCGGCGACTCGCCGCCAGTTCCTGATCTCGGGACAATCGTATAATTGCGTAACTAATTCTAATGGAACACGCTTCGTGTCTAATTCGCGTGTAAAACTGAAAAGCGTATGGCCGTACACCATTGGAAGCGAACGGAACACAGTTTGCGCAATACGCCACCATTCCCCGTATTGCAAAATGTACTTCGGGTTAATCGAGATAGCAGAAAAGTAGGTTGTTCCGAAAAGCGATTATTTTAGATGACTTGTCACTCGGCGATTATGAACGTGGAACTTTGATAACGCTTCTTTCTCTTACTTCGAGTCTCCCTGTGTCCGCTCTGCTCTCTCTATCTATCTATCTATCTGCACCCATACCCATCAAAGAATATGGAGATGAAAAGAACCGTGCTGGGACATCGAAAGCTACGACACCCCGCACATCAAAGACACTCGAGAAACGGCCACGCAGCGTAATTTGTTAGCGGAGAAGCTCGGGGGAATACGCTAGTCGGGGAAAATGCCACTTTCCGAAATTGCGGTGGCTCTTATAAAATGCAGCCTAATATGTGTGGAGTACAGTACGATATATTTGATCTCGCCAAAGCCCGCGGGTGCTAGGCTCCTAGCGTTTCGGAAACAGTTTCGGTAATTTCGAGAAGTGGTACTTCCCGCGCCTCTCCCCCCCCCCCCCCCCCCCC